GATAGGTCTATTGTTTGCCCTTTTCCCTCAGCAAACTTTGAGAATATCCTCAGTTTAACATAACAGCAGCTTCACACCTACTAGATGAAGTCTGCGTGTTTGCAGTTCGCTCTCATGTTGTAACATGATACAAAGAATATTCAAATATTAACATGTTTTTCTTCCTCCTCCCTATCCTGTCCTGATCAGTTTTCCTAATGTAAAGACAAGATTTTGAGAGCTTTCAGATTATATTGTGACTTTTAAAATTGCCTTAATGGCTTTTGATTTTTGTCCCCAGATAATTTACAATCACAGCTGATCTTAAATGTCTCAAAAAGACCTGAGCAGAACCTTGTATATTTGGATAAGAAACCATCAAAAAAAGGGAAATTTAAAAAGAACCAATCCTCCTAGAGAAAGAAATTGCAAACCAGTTGTATTGTTGCCAAAAAACAACATAGAGTTAAGTTTAATTGAAGAGACTTGACTCCAAAATGTATGTCGGTACCCCAACATATAGCCAGAATGTATTGTGGATTATGTTTTGAAATTTATGGAACAATTTTGTTGTGGTAGTATTTGCCATTCAGATTGAAAAACGGAGCTTTTGTAAGTAAACTTGAAATATACACTTGTATAAGTGTATATGTTCTGTATTAAAATACAGTTGTGTTTTAATACAGAACATATACACTTATACAACAATATTGTACTATTTATATACTATGTTATACATAATGTAATGTATATATTACATTAATGTACAAAATATAATACACATATTGCAATTATGAATCAATATACAATAATAATGTACCCTTACACCTAAATATCAATTTATGCATATGAATATGCATGGGTTTGTAGATGCAGTTGAAGCAGTGGAGAATGACCTTCAGATCAGTTTTATCTTTGTTGATTATTGTGTGCTCTAATTAAGCATTGGGAAAACCTGTTTTTTCTTGCAGTTGTAATCTATGTGGTTCATTGTGGACTAGATATTGTAAAGAAACATTCATATTTCTTTACTTTGGGACTATTTAAGATTTTGCTAAGGTCTGAGCAATTTAAATTAATTTAATGTATGGGACATTAATATTTTATTTTTAAACCTTACTTTGAAATCCGATTGATTGTGACACTGGAGAAACCTGGGAAAAGACTGTCTAATTTTGAATTGTACTTCTATACTACAATTGTAAAAAGTTGTTATAAAATGTTTCTCTTTTGAAGTAGTGTTTCTCAAAGTGTGGTCCATGGACCTCAAGACTCAAAATAGACTCAAGAAAATAAAGAAAATTAATGCTATGTTAAAATCCTATCAAACAATTGTGAGAAGCAGTAGTGACAGTGAATGCACCATTTTTAATTTTTAATAAGATAATATTAATAAATATAACCCATACAAATAAAAGCTTTTGGGGTACCCTGTAATTTTTAAAAGTGGGAATGTCTACTGAAAGACAAATGTTTAAGAAACACTGTTTTACAGTAATGCAGGTTTTTTTTCTTTTTTCATTCAGTGATATATAAGTATACTTTAATACAGATGCTACTGGTACTTCAGGTTAAAAGATGGACATATATTCTGGTTTCAGATAATAGCTTCATTTCAGTCTCTAGACTAACAAAATAAAGGGAATGGTTATTTATTGTAAAAATGTGAGAAGAAACAGTTGCACAGTGAATTTAAATGCTATCGTGAATATAGAATTTACTGCTTCTGTGCCCAAGTAGTTTTTAACGTACCCATTGTTGTAATCTAATATCATAAATTTAGAATTATTTTGTATCTTCCTGCCTGTCTGTTAGGCCCTTTCCTTTCACAATAAGTTGAACTGCTGCTATATGTTCCTATAAATCTGATGGTTTAACATTACTTAAAGATCCTGTGGATGCCAGTAGAACTATTTCAAAGCTATCATACTTCTTTAGGTATTTACCATTATTGTTTTGAGGTTCCTATCTAACACTAGGGTAAAATGGCATTATTTTTAAATATTCTGAACTCTGAATCAAAGTTCTTGACATAGAACTAAGAAATTTGTTACCAGAAAATTTTGGCAAAAAGCAGAATTATGCAGTTGCCTTAGGCATTACTCATAACTCTTGTGGGGAAATTTTACCTAGTCTCCCAGAAGTAACATGGATAAAATGGTTGTAAGAATCAGCTGGTAACAGATGCGCATGCAATACTAGTCTATATTGATTTCTCGTATGTCCTACTTCACCCAGAAAGGGGAACAAGTTTTGTAATACCATGTAACTGGTGGAATTTCAACTATTTATTGTTTAATTGAAATATTTCTTTGAATCCTGTACATTTTACTGGTTGAGTAGCAAACCTCTTTGATATAAGCTGACAAAGTAGAGACATAAAAAGTAAAATTGTCTGGTTTCATTATAGATTAGAAGGGACAAACTGTAAAAGTTTTCTAAGTGGCCAATCATGAGCCTTTAAAATCCCTTGAGATAAATGTGGCATTTTAACTATTTCACATGAAAGCCCACTGAGTTAAATCAACCAAGTGAATAGCATTGGGTGCTTAGCAGCAGAATGCTACTTGCATAGTTTATTAACTTAACCTCTGATACTCTGCAAAGTTCTTAGAATGAAAATCTGACATTTGGATGGCTGTTTTATTTGTGAGGATTAAGGCCTTGATCTCTCACAAATTCTGCAGAATGTGTGCCCTTCTGTTTCATGAGCTGCTATTTAAATAGTAGTGAGGCAGTCTTTGGAACCAGTTTTTCCACATACATTGGTAAGAAAATCAGTGGTGGGATTCAGCTGGTTCGCACCACTTCGGCAGGACCGGTAGCTAATTTTTTGTTGTCCAGGTCCAGAATGGATTTCCGGAAGCAGTATCCACACAGAGAACCGGTTGTTCACATATTTGAATCCCACCACTGAAGTAAATATATATAACAGTATTTAGCTTTCATTAAATTGAATGTTCTTATATTTCATTGCATAGTTAGCCAGATGTTCAGACTGAATTTGACATTTTTGTCCATCTATCTTCCCAAGGACCTGGGTTAGGTAGATGTGGATATTGGATGGTCTTAAAAGTATTGTTGGGGGATCTAAGCTGCTCCAAGTAAAGCTGTCTTTTGCAATTGACTGGTGGTGATTTTGTCAATGCCGATAGTTCAAGGTATATAAATATTGGTGTTATTAAATGTTAGATCGTCAAAAGTTATGTAAAATATCTTTGATAATTAGGCTTTTGAAGAAACGTTTTTTGAAATAAACATTAAAAGAGATAAAATATTTCTAAGATCAAAAGCGACCCCTTGTATTCTCACAAGGACCAGCCATCTGGAACACGTGGGAGATCTCATATCCTTTTCTTATCCTTTCAGTCATTGTCTTTAGTTTGCCATACCTCCCCCAGAAAGAACTATCACTTCCCATGATATCACTGTTTTGTAAGAAAAAAATGCAAAATAGGAATTTAGGAGCTCAGCCTTCTCCCTGCTGTTTGTCATCACCTTACCATCCTCTCCAACCAACAGATTGGCAAATCTGTACATATCCAAATAATCCCTTTTTTTGTAATTTTTTGCATTCATTGTGAGACTCAGTTCCTTCTGGGTGTTAGCCTTTCTGAATTTATCCTTACGGATTTGAACCTTCCTGATATTCTTTTTTTTTATATGCCCTTCTTTCTTATTTTAAACTAGTACTTTTTGTTTATTGGTTCATCACAAAGTTCTTTATATAGCTATTGTTATTATTTTTGACTTGGAATTGTTTGTATTGGGCCTTAATTATTTCATTTCTCAGAATTTCATACTAGGCTGGGTTTTTACCATTGGTCCATATATACATCTAGGTCTAGTCATTTATGTATAATGCAACCCCCTCCATTTTAGTTGGGTATGAACAAATTATATATTTTAAGTGCTATATACTAATACTTGAGTTATATCCACCAGGTATCCCTAATATCAACAATGTCATACTTGCCTCGTCCTCAGTATTAGGACTTAAAATTCTCCATTTCTGAGCCATTAGTACTCAGAATGGTACTTTAGTACTATTTTCCTTTACTTGCTTACTGCATCTCGTGATGTATTCTTAAGTGCTGCTTTATTTTTTGTTGTAAGGCTTATTGCTTTGAGTATGGTCTTCCCTCCCTTCCCATGTTTAGTTTAAAGCCTGCCTGAACTGAAATACATTTTTTCCCAATTTTATGAGATCCAGCCCATCTCTTGGCATACCAGCACTTGAGCCAATGGTTCTCCTCCAGAATCCTCTATTCCTTCCTTGGGACATGATCTTCATTTAGAAGTATGGATGAAAACACAATTTGTCTTTCAAATACTGTAATTTTCCTTCCTATTTCTTCCTTGTTCTTCTACCAGACTCATTCTGGCAGTATTATTCCAGGTTGGATTATTCAGTCCAGCCTCTCTTCTTGCATCCCATATTTTTGCATGTGAAAGACAACATACTTTCCTTGATACCATGTCTGCTCTGCAGACCCATTCCTCTCAGCAGTGAATCAGCATGACCACCACAGGCATTTTCTCTTTTGTGACCACCACTGAATTCTTCTCTGAAGAAGCCAGTTTCTCTTCTCCCGAAACCTGAAACACTGTGGCAAAAGAGAGAGAGAGAAAAAAACATTTTCAGAAGTCCATAATCACACTCTAGGGCAGGGCCTGAAATTGTGCAACTCCAGCAATAGACACTGGTTAGGTTCAAGTGCAAATCATCATAACATTTTTAATTTCAAGAGAAAATAGTTTTTAAGCATGACACAAGTTGTTTTAAACCTTTTGGAATAGTTGCAAGATCAAAATAAAATGTTTTGTACCCAGAACAGGCTTATGTTAAGTGTAAAACACTTCCAAAATGGTTGAAATAGCTCATTTGACATTCAGAATAACACTTTTGTGCTTGAACTGGGAAATTTGGGGATGATTCATGATTGAAATAAAATTAACATTGTGTACATTCTGAATGAAGAATTTTTTTAATATGTAGTAACCATTTTCCCTTTTAACAGAAACCATAGTCCTTTAATGAGTTTTGGAGCCAGCTTTGTCAGCTTTTTGGTAAGTAAGTCTAAATACTTACGTTGTTACTGCATGACATTCCTTTGTTGCCTTACTGATTTTGAAAATGTATCACTAATTTTGAAATTGTAGATTTAGTAAAAAAGTTATTTGGAGACACCAGTACACATTTTTCCCCACAAGATCCAATGCTGCATCAATGAAATAGAATAAAATGAGAAGTGTAAGAGTTCTTGTATGGATCATTATGCATTTTATTTATTTTTCTGGGGAATTGTCACATGTGAGCAACTAGGCCCACAGGTGCAGAGTTCGAGCTAACTGCTTTATTATATACTGCCTATAATACAGGACTCTCTCCAGTCTAGCAGTCTACTCTTGGGAATAAACTCCAAGTAACTTAGGAGGGGTCAGTACTAGCCCTTTTGCAATTGTACAATGACTCCAGATTAACTGCACAATTGATCCCTCCTCTTTGCCAGGCTGGGTGTTTCCCAACAGGAATAGAACTAAAGGATTTGTCTTAGTTTTGCTACTACATTCCTAAACATTTTTTCAATCAGGGGAAACAGAGATTGTAGAATAAGGGACTATCCCCTCACATGTGCATATGTACTATATTCACTATCAGTGTCTGCACAAAACCAAGCCAGTTCTTTAATCATTGTTGAACAAGATATTGTGATCTGATTCATGTGTAACACTAAACCATATTAGCTGGGGTTGTATGTCACCAAAATCTAGCAAAATTATATTATATGTCAGTATTCTCTTCTATTCTGTCACTCTGACTAGATTCATACATTGCATAAACCTTAAATGTGGTTTGTTTGGAATTTACCATTCAATAATTTCTATAATAAATGATCTATTATGATGCTGATAAACAAGTATCCTATTTGCATGAACATATAAGAAAGTTAATGAAAGATTTTAATGTATTATAAAGTAGTTGCTTCACTATGTATAAAAAGAAAGGATGTTGTGGTACTTCTAGGCCAGATATATGAATATAATAGCTCTACTTCTATTCTTTATTGGCATTGTGTAAGAAATCCTGCTAAAAATACAGGAAATAACTTGTTTGATAAACTCCTTGATGTACGAGTAGTTTTATAAATCTTAAACTGAAGAGTTTTATTTGAATATATTCTTGTCTTTTGTAAAGAGATTGGAAATAGGTTTTTCCTCCTTTATTTAAATGGATTGCTTACTTAAGTGGAATTTTTGAGTGAGTATAACAATCCAATATAGCAACATTATATCCTGCAATGCTTCTTCTGTTCTAAAATAGCTGCAGTAGTTTATGTTCCAGTGTAATTCAGATATTCTATTTAAAAAATGGAAAATGTATTGTGTTGAAATAAAGATTAACTTAACGCATCTCTTCATATCTTTAATTTGAGTGTAAGCATAGAATTATTTTAATACATATAGATTTTGTTTTCCATTAGCAAACTTATAAAGATATAATTTGTGGCAATAGCAGTAACTAGAAGAGAATTTATGTATCTTAATTATATTTTAGTTACTATAATACGACAGTTTCAGATCAGCTCTGTACAAAATCTTATAATGATCTGGTAATCTTATAACAATCTTATCAAGTTGATTGCTAATTATTCCTTTTCATTGTTTTCAGCTTTAATAAAATTATATCTTCAATATATGAGGAGTGATTTGAGAAATAGATTGACTCTTGGTAATATTTTATATTACCAAGATTTATTTTATTACATATGTAAAAAAGCAAAAAATATATATCAAGGCACTGATTTTAAGGAGTACACAATTCTCTGTTGTAAATCCTAATTCAAATTTGCTTGAATCTAAACTGCTAAACAGAGTTTTTAAAAAATGTCATTAAAAATACATACATACATACATGCATACATACATACTGTACATGTAGACACATTTGAGGCATCATGATTATGAAGGAGTATTACCCGACATCTTAGTAGTTACATTGATTTTGTGTTTAACAGTATACTATTTTTCCTTTAAGAAGATTTCATCCTTTTAGCATTGTAGGCAATTTACAACTATAAATATACCATGGGTATTTTTTGATTTTGCAAAGTTGTGCCAGTTTTCTTCAGCAAAGAGCCTTGTGAAATCTTAAAGATTAATACATTTATTGTTGCATAATGTGATAATAATTTATAGTGTAGCATATTCATTATATGATAATTTGTTAGTTTTTAAAAAGCCAGAAAAATAATATTTTTTATTAAATTCTCAACTTCCCAGACAGTTACTTTTAAGTGAAGGGTTCTTATATATAATTATATCTTAGTTAATGAAGTTGCTTCAAAAAGCTTCTAAAAGAACAATATAATATCATTAGTTTGTAAAATAGCAAATAGGTTTAGATTAGTTTGGCTCTTTTAAGTTCAGTAATCTTTTTATGTTTTAACAGAATGCCATGATGACATTTGAAGAAGAGAAAATGCAGCTGGCATGTGACGATTTAAAAGCTACCGAAAAATTATGTGAGAGTGAAGAAGCAGGAGTTATAGAAACAATAAAAAATAAAATTAAGAAGAATGTAAGTGAAACATTGTCAATACATGGATGAATGAGTCCTGTGCCAATACGATACTGGTTTATATATGCCTGTCCTATGGGACTCCATAGCATGTAATATGCAGTAATCTCATATTCAGTTTTGTTGCTTTTTATAGAAAATAATTCCATATAAAAGTTAGCTCTTGTAATTGATAGACAGTCTATTGTCTTCTAATAGCCTAAACGAAATATAATCTTATTTGGCTATGTTCTATATATAAAAACTTTTCCCTAACAAAATTAGTTGGTGAGCTTTTCATCAAAATGCTTGCCTAGTTCTTTAATCCAATCTTCTCTTTCCCCTCTGTTTCCACTTTTTAAGTAAGAAGTAAATGGCAGCTGTTGTCCAATCATATCTGTAGCCTTCAGAATTCAAAATTTTACTAATGCTTTTACCTAGTTGATGGAAATATTTGCAACATTATGATTTAGTTGTTTATGTCTTTGCTTGCCTTTGGATCTTTGTCTTGCTAACTCTTAAAAATAAAAATTAAAATCACAAATTTACTTTATGCCTTTAACAATTTAGATAATTATATAACTACAAATAGCTTTTACTTAATTTGCTGCCTGCATCATGTAGATATAATAGCATCTACCTTCAATGGAAATAGAAGAGTGAACTTTAACTAATATTCCTATTAAACGATCACATTCATGCTACATATCTTTCCTAGTTTGGTGGAATTAGGTCTAATAAATGTCATAGTCTATAAATAATTTAAGTTTTGGCTTCCTTTGAGAACATACTGCATTATTAATGTTGCGTGCATAGAATCTGAACCCTTTGTTTAGTGTCACTATTCTATATAATTTTTAAAGGATTATGTGGAGCTGGTCTTCGTATCTGTTTCCTGATGTATTCTCCATAGGAAACTTGCTGTAAAAAAACCAGGGAGAAGAGAGCCAATCTACTGGGGGGACAGTAGTATACCATGTTAAGCAATGGCATTGCTGAGCTAGGGGGAAAGGTTGGTGAAAGATAATTAGAAAAAAAATATCTTACAAAGTTCACATAGTTAATATTCTAGCTATGACTTAACTCATACCTTTAAATATTTTTGATATAATGTATGTCTAAATATGTCTAAATCTGAATATTATATTGATGCAAACTTATCATATTGTATATCATATTACATTGATGAAAATTTTTAGGGAACCTAAGTTTTTAAATAAAGGATAGTGAATGTTTTTGGCTTTTCCTTCAACAAAGCGAATTTCAAAAAGTTTAAGAAATACAGGTCTGCCTAATTTCCATTTGCATTTTTTACTTTGAATAGAATGCATTACAAGCCAATTCACCCTGCCTATCCTGACCAAATTTAAATGATTCATATTTTAATAAGATTAAACCAAGGGTAGGCAGCCAAGGTTGCCTACCCCTGGATTAAACCTACCATTCTGTAGCACTGTTTTTTTTATAGCTGGGTGACATGGGAAAAAATATAAAGCATTTCTGATTGAGAGAATTAACTTCCAGAAAAGTGCCGCAACACACACACACGCGCACGCGCACACGCACACGCACACACACACAAATTCACACACATTGTTTGGCTGTAACTGGTGCGACCCAGAATGTTCCATTCCTAGAATGGTACGTTTTATGCATATCTGATTAATATGCTCTTCCTTATTTTCAAATAGGTTGATGGCAGGAAGGCTGCCCCATCCATGATAGAACGATTGCAAAGGCAGATCATTATGGCAGACTGTCAAGTTTACCTTGCTGTGCTCTCTTTTGTAAAACAAGAATTATCGGGTAAGCTATGACTTTTACTATTTTAATAATTAACATTTATTATCTTAAAACCAGGATGATTTAAATGATTTGTTTCGTAGCCTACAGTATAAAAACTTGTGTAAATTATGAATGCCATTAATTTAAGATCCGACATATATTATAAATATTTCTAATCTAAGTCAACTCTAAGCGTAATAAACAGGTGTGCCTTTGTCATAGTTTTTGTGATTGATGGTCAGCATTGAGTCTTGCTGTATCTCACAAAAAGTTACCATTCTTCAAAGGAAAAAAACTCATTGCTTCCAATTTTTAGTTATCATCATGCTTGTTACTTTCTCTTTTTTTGTGAATTTTAATTCCTGGCAACTACATTACCTGTTTTTCTAAATGCTAGGTAGTTTCTAATCTTTGGTTATATCCATCATATATAAACAAATGTCTAATTTTTATACTTACACAAGCAGAATATAGTTTATTTGTGGTTATATTTGCTTGTTTACCTATAGATTATTTTGATATAAAAATCTGTGATTTGGGCAGAATATGAAAATAAATCTTTATTAACCATTTGGCAAGTGATTGTTTGAAATTATGATTCTGCTGAATGAAGGGACTTAATGACCAGTGCCTGAAGTTATGACCATTGCAGAACCACCACCACCCTAGTCACATAATTACGGTCTAGGCTCTTAGCAACCCTTTCAAACTTACAAAAGCTTACTACTCCCTCTGTCCCCTCTCCCCTCCCCCCGTGATCATGTATTTGCCATTTGCAATCTTCCTACTGGCTTCCTCAGAAAGTCAACAGCTGGCATGGAAAGTCACAAGCCACCGCCATAGGACTCCCTCTGGTTCCTGGAAGCTGGCTGAAAAAGATCTGTTGTGACCCATTTTGGAATGGCTTTTTTCATCCAGTTTCTTTGTGAGCTGAAGGGCTGTCTGCCAGATTGATTTTGCCCTGTGTGGGGTGGAGTCTCTCCACCAAGTAGCCCTTTCGCTCTTAAAGACACTGGCTGAAAAGGTCCATAATGAAAGCCAAAAAGGGGTTTTAGCAATAGCAATAGCACTTTGACCTGTATACTGCTTTATAGTGCTATACAAACCTCTCTAAGAAGTTTACAGAGTCAACATTTTGCCCCCAACAATCTTGGTCATTTTGCTGACCTCGGAAGGATGGAAGGCTGAGTCAACCTTGAGCCTGTCAGGATTGAACTGCTGGCAGTTGGTTGAGTTAGCCTGCAATATTTCATTCCAATCACTGCACCACCATGGCTCTTTTAGCACAGGACACTTGCAGCATGGAGTAGTTGATGCCAGGTTGGAGCCAGGCTTCCAGCAAGTACAATCTTCCTGAAGGGCGGAAAGGCTTTCCCCAGCATAGTGGTTTCTTTCTGCACATGGAGGGAAGGGAGAGGGGAGGAGAGTTGGCTAGAGAAAGAAAGTTCAGATCTTGGGGGTCCAAGCTTCGTTTTTCCATCCCAATGGAGTGCCTCACTTAATGATCACAACTACTTAAACCAAAATTTTGGGCCCAATTGTGGTCATAACTCAAGGATGACCTATATAAACTTGAAATAAGCTGGGGCCTCTAATACTTTGTGTGTGTTTGGGTGTAGCATGTGGTTGGAAGTTCTGTCACTTGCATTCTGTGTTATGAGAAGGGAGTGCTATGTTTTGTTATTAATTAAATTAATAATGAAATTCAGTTTTAATCCTGCACCTTTTTGATAACACAATTTCTATTGTTAAACATTCTATTACTAACATTTCCCTTTGATCATAGCTTCCTTCTACATGGCTAAATACAATTTTAAAACACCACAAGTCATTTGTTGGCATATGATTACTAGTTTCTATTAATACGCAAAAATATTTCTAATTAATCAGTTGATGACATAACAGCAATATATTATAAGCAAAACTGGTGCTTTACTAATTATGTATAATAGACTATATATATGGAAATATATAAGGTATCCTAACAGATACTTTAAGTAATTAAGTATAATTGAGTAATGATGTTTAACAGCAAGGTATTCTGGCTAGAAAAATAGCAAAGCTACATAAAGTTTTTATGAAATGTTCCTCATATTTCTTATTTTATTTGTGATTGCACCATCCAAGGTGAAACGGGTAGAATTTTTGTCCATTTCTCCATGGTTACTGAAGCATTGCTGAACACTTATTGGACAAACGCTTATCTTGTGGTGAACCACATGAGAACTAAATATGCTATGCAGCAGAAAGTGACTGAATAGCACAGTCTTGCAGTAATTTTAGCTTCCTGTTAAAGCTGAATCATGCTTCTGGAACAAATGCGCTATTGCAATAGACAGCTTGATTTTCTGTATCTTGGAGGCACTTGCTTCATTAATCCTTTAGAATAAATCTATCATATCTGGTCTAAAAAAAATCAGATGATTGCTAGATATGATGAAAATGTTAGAGTTTCCTCCATGTCTTTGCTGTTATATGTTTGTTATTTAAATATCTTCATCCCTGTGTTACAGGCCATTGCATAATAAATAGGGATATAACAATTTTGCTTGTGATACTGTAAACTGAACACTATGTTTTCTTAGTTCTCTAACCTTATGATTGGGCATATACAACACACTAAATTGGAGACTGTCTTGCTTCTTTACAGTTGCAAACCTTTGGATTTATCTAATCACAAAGTCAGAAAATTAAAAATATGTAGTGCTCAGATTGTTATGATTTATTGCTTATTATGTTGAATTGTACAGGTAGTTCTTGACTTATGACCGCAATTGAGCCCAGAACTTATGTTGAGAAGTGAGAAATTTGTTAAGTGAGTTTTGTCCCATTTTACGACTTTTCTTGCCACATTTGTTAAGTGAATCACTGCAGTTGTTAAATTAGTAACATGATAGTTAAGTGAATCTGGCTTCCTCATTGACTTTGCTTGTCAGAAGGACGCCAAAGGTGATCACATGACCCTAGCACACTGCAACCATCATAAAAATGAACTAGTTGTCAAGCATCTGAATGTAAATCATGTGACCATGGGGATGCAGCAGCAATCATAAGTGTGAAAAATGGCCATAAGTAACCTTTTTCAGTGCCGTTGTAACTTTGAATGGTCACTAAATGAACTGGTGTAAGTAGAGGACTACCTGTATTTAATTATAACACTTTGTTAATATTTCCAAATGATTATGACAATCTTTCTACACATAATGACCCCTTCTTTCTTACATTTTGACTAGGAGAAAATAGAATTGTAATTCACAAATCTGGAGGGCATATAGATGTGGAAATCTGGATCGGACATAGGTTTTTAATTTCTTAACCTAGAAAATCCTTTCTCTTTGACTAAAAACTCTTTTTATCTCTTTATATATTTTTGTTTCCCTCAGCTTATATAAAAGGTGGGTGGATCCTTAGAAAAGCTTGGAAAATCTACAATAAGTGCTATGCAGACATTAACACACTTCAGGAATTATATCAGAAGAAGATAACTCAGGAATCTTTGACTTCTGATGCTACAAATGATAATCATATTGCTGCAGAAGGTGTTACAGAGGATTCGCTTAACAGACTGAAAGGTGCCGTTAGCTTTGGATATGGACTTTTTCATCTTTGCATATCCATGGTGCCCCCAAACCTGCTCAAAATCATCAATCTGCTGGGTTTTCCTGGAGACCGCCTGCAGGGGCTTTCTTCATTGATGTATGCAAGTGAAAGTAAGGACATGAAGGCCCCTTTAGCTACGTGAGTAGCTATATTGCAATGCTTTGGTAATAGCTTAGAACTGAAGTAAGTAAGTAAACTTCAAGCCAATGTAAGGTAGCAACATTGTCTTGTCTTTTTTTTTAAAAAATGATAAGATTACTTAGGTCAGGGATAGGCAACCTTGGCTCTTTTATGACTCGTGGATTTCAATTCCCACAATTCCTTCAATGCTGGCTCAGGAATTCTGAGAGTTGAAGTCCACGAGTCATAAAAGAGCCAAGGTTGCCTACCCTTGATCTAGTTAAATTAGGAGCTGTATTTTGATATGCTTTAAGTTATAGAATTGGGCCTTTAAGTCAGAAAAGAACCTTATTGTGTCCTCAAATTATTTTTACTCAGTGCAAATTGTTGCACTCAGAACAAATTCCAGTTGAACAATTCTTAAGCTCTTAGTCGTTTAAAATATTTTACTATCTTCAGTATGCATATTTAAACCTTCTACTAAGAACTAATTTTTCTGTATTTGTATGCTTCTGTGTAAATCAGTAGTAGAATGCTTTTTTAAAAAATGCAAATATTTGAGTTGGCACTCTTCTGTTCTTCAGCTGACAAGGAGCTTTTGTATCTGGGCTCCATTTCAATGAAAGGGTTTCCCCACACAAGTCTTTCTTAGATACAACCTTTCTTCTCAACTTAATATCATAACTCAATGGTGGAGCCTCTTTAACAGATTCTGCAAGTTTAAGGTTATCTTGGATCTGGAACTGAAACTCCCTGAAATGGTCTGCAATCTGTTTAAGCTACCATAAGGTTCTAGTTCTGTGCTTCAACAATCTGGATAACTCCTAGGTGATTGCAATGAGACAATGAATATATAAACTTTGGTTCATATCTAGTGGCTGCCCTAACTAATAGAAGAAATATAATTAATTTAAGCACTTTATTTCCTCTTGTGAGAACCTTTAATTTTTTTGTTGGCAATGGTGGCAGTGTTTCTGATGTCTGAAGTAACAGAGTTTGTGAGTGACTTTGTTGTGCATTAAAAAGATTGGGTCCTAATTTGTATATATTTAGAAGGCTTATTTATAATTTGTATAGTTGGTATGCTCAGTGGCATTTTCTAGGGAATTGCATATCTCTTCTACTATCAGATTTCAGCCTCAGAAATTGAAGAATGGTTCTTTCATTCCACTTTTGTTGAGTAAAAGTTAACATATTTTTTTAATGTTTTGATAAAGTATCTCTGGTAAAGTAATAATTTAGCGACTGGACACTGTTAAACTTTTTGAGAGATAAGGTCTGTGTTGCAGAAAGCTATGCTTCAAAGAGAATGATATCATTTTTATTTAAATAGGCAAAAGGAATATCTGAATGAGACTGATTTAGTACAGTTTTCATTTAGTGTCCATCTAAACATTATGAAACTATGCCACTTTTTAAAGGAGACATAGGAAGACACCAGAAGTGTTTCAGGTGCTAAATGGGATCCTACGGCCACATATTCTTCATGCCTGCCATAACTCAATCAAATTCTAGACTGCTTCACACAAAATAGGTGTGGAAGTTTTTATTATAGCCATTCATGTAATTTACTTGCAAGCATGTTCCAAAGAAAGATGTGAATGCTTGCTTGTTTCAGAGGGTGATTGGGTAGCAGCAGATAGTACTGTATGCATGCTCTCATCCTGCCAGTCTAAGTTGCTGAAGTTTTAAAAAGCAATTCGTTTAATAGGCTGACTATTCCATATTACTGTATATTCTTTGATGCTTCTGAATTTCCAAAGTATGGAACTAGCTAATGTCAATATCTCCTTATATTTTTAGGTTAGCCTTGCTGTGGTACCATACAGTGGTTCGCCCTTTCTTTGCTTTGGATGGCAGTGATACCAAAGCAGGATTGCAAGAGGCTGAGGAGATTCTTCAAAAAAAAGAAGCTGCTTATCCCAACTCATCTCTCTTTATGTTTTTCAAAGGCAGAATACAGCGTTTAGAGGTACTGAAAGCTTTGATCTTGATGGTTCTTCAGATTCTTCTATGATGTGGTAGTTAAAAAAAAGAAAGTCCAGATTCCGGCAGTACCTGTAGTAATATGCTACTACTAGTAGAAGTGCTATGGCATTGTTTTGTGTACAGTAATATTGTGGCATGTGTTGAGTCCTTGTTATTCAAGTTCTTGGACTCAGAATTGAATGTGGACCTGCAGTAGGGGTAGTTTGTGATAGATATTTGTTGGTTTGTTTTTCAACAAACAGTGAAAGATTTTCCTCAGGACACTGTTTCTTTCTCCAAATATAATCATATGTTCTTTATGGCATTTCTCCTGGTTGTTGCTTTTTCTGTCATTATCACATATGAGCTGACAATTTTGGAGAATATGAGTGCAAGGAAGTAGAAGATTAGAGTGCTGAATTTTACATTGATTTCAATAAGTAGTCCATGTTTTGTAATTCTTACAAGCATTTCACAAGACGATCATTGCAATTAACTTTCTTTTCTACTGTTGTAGCATGATTTGAATTCACACTTGTAAAGTTGATATTTATGTACTTCCACAGTTCAATTGCAGCTTTTTCTTCTTTTCTTAGTGTCAAATTAACAGTGCCTTGACCTCCTTCAATACTGCTTTGGAACTTGCAACTGATCAGAGAGAGATTCAGCATGTCTGCCTCTATGAAATTGGTATATGATAACATTAATGTTTCCTTTCTGTATAGATATAATCAGTATCTGAATGAATCAGTCTCCAACAGATACATATTTATTTGTTTTCAAAATTTATAAGGCTGCCCAATTCAAACATTGTGATTCTGGATAACATATAGAATAAACATACAATAGATCAAAAGGAAGCAAAACAAAATCTCATATAATAATGAGCAGACAGCATATAAATATAAAATGTAAAATGGTAACCAGGCAGACAAGAAAACGATTACATGTCACATTCAACTAGCCATTAATGCCAAGGAAAAGAACCAGATCTCAAAGACCTTTCCTCAAGGTCTCATAAGATGACAAAATTTCTAAAAGCAACCTGGAGCATACACTTTCTGTTGGTCCCTCAAAAAGCTCAGTCTTGTGCCACGTATGGCTTTAAAGGTAATACCTAGCACTTTGAATTGCATTCAGAAGCCTATTGGGAGCCAGCTCACAGAGTATATTTTGCTATTTTAAAAATTATCTTCTTTTGTTATGAATAATATATAGGACATACATAATTTCTGTGTTCAACAATTTTGGTTGTCCCTTTTAGGCTGGTGTAGCATGATAGAAATGAACTTCAAGGATGCATTTGAATCATTTGAACGTCTTAAAAATGAATCAAGATGGTCCCAGTGTTATTATGCCTACTTAACAGCAGGGAAGTATTGTTATATGATTCAGAAGTATGTGCAATTGGGGTGGAAATAATATAGTGTTTGTTCTTTGGTGTCAGCATATTTTATTAAGAAAATTACTCATATAAATAAATACAACAGTGTCGAAAAAATAGGTAGTCCTTGATTTATGATTGCAATTGGACCAGATTTCCCATTGCTAAGCAAGATAGTTGTTACATGAGTCACACCTGATTTTACAACCTTTTTTGCTATGGTTGTTAAGCAAATCACTGCAGATTTTAACTGAAGTATGCAGTTGTTAAGTGAATCCAGCTTCTTCCATTGACTTTGCTTGTCAGAAGCCAGCTGGGAAAGTCTCAAATGGCAATCACGTGACCCTGGGATGCTGCAACTGTTGAAAATACATGACAGATCCCAGGCACCCAAATTTTGATCATGTTACCATGGGGATGTTGCAATGATTGTAAGTGTGAGGACCAGTTGTAAGCCTGTTTTTTCAGTGCTGTTGTAACTTCAAATGGTCGCTAAATGAATGGTTGTAAATCAAGGACTACCTGTATTGGATGCATTTCTGTCGTGTCACTTATAATGAGTTTTTGAACATATGTTGGTCTTGCATTATTTATTGGTAGGTCTACTGTATATCTACCTAATCAAAATGTGACCCTGGGTGCCTAATATTAAATGTAGCAATGATAGAAAACAACTAAAAGCAAACAAACAGGTAAATGGAGCAAAACCCAACAAATAACAATTATCTCACCACAAAAAATTGCAAATGCACCACATTCTATATTTCAGTAACACTGAATCTGCCTGCAGATTTGCAGTTTAGCAGACGTGATTTAGAAAGGAAGGGAAAAGGAAAGCCAACAAATTAAGAATTAATGATTCATAAAATTTTCTAAATGTTTAATGGGCATGTTGGATTCTCATTGAGGAGACAGGAACTTTTGTTTTAAATTAATGAAAGGAATTGCTTTTTATTACAGTGTGTCAAGGAGCTACTGGTGAAGTGAATGGTGCACAGACTGTTTTCAAGGAAGTCCAGAAGCTTTTCAAAAGAAAAAACAACCAAATTGAACAATTCTCAGTCAAAAAGGTCAGGTGAATGTAAACTGGACTGAATTGTACATGGGTGGGCAATCTGCAACTAAAGGACCATATTTAAATCTCAAATTTCCCCCCTCTTCTGTGATCCTCAACAGCCCCTCTAACTGTGCTGCTAAACCTCAATAGTATAACTCCCTGGAAAATGATAGGAAAGGCTCTGAGGTAGAACAAATGCAATTTAAAAAGAAGAAACAAAACCCTAATTTGCTTCCTCCCCCAATTTGCATCAGCTACATATTCTGTCTTGATTTGGTTAAAGTGTGGGTACAGTGACAGGCAATAATCTAACTGTAGTTTGTTTATCTAGTTAAGGTATGAGAACCAGCTCTCTTTGCATCAGGTGATTTTTTGGGGGGAGAGGAATAAGATGTTTTTGGGAGAGGAATAACATGGAACACACAGCTAGAGGGATTTAAATTATTTAAAAGAAACAGACCAAATAAAAGAGGAGGTGGAGTTGCTCTCTATATAAGAAATAACTACATCTCTACAGAAATAGAGCACAACAATGATAAAAACTGTCTTGAATGCATTTGGGTCAATATAAGAGGGGGGGGGGGAATGACATGGCCATAGGTGTATACTACAGACCACCCAACCAAACAGAGGAAATAGATGAACTTTTTGCTGGTCAGCTAACTAAGATATGTAGGAAGCAATAGTAATGGGGGATTTTAACTACCCTGACATCAACTGGGAGACAAACTCTGCACCAAGTGGAAGATCAAACAGGTTCTTGGCAAACCTAGCAGACAACTTTGTATCCCAAAAAGTAGAGAAAGGAACTAGGGGATTAGCCATTTTGGATCTAATTCTCACTAACAGAGATGAAATGATAGAAGGTGTTGAAGCCATAGGAACCCTGGGAGGAAGTGATCTTGCTGTATTAGAATTCATCATTATGGAAGCACAAGCAATAGAACACAGTCAAACTAGAGTCTTGGACTTCAAGAGAGCTAATTTCAATAAACTTAGACTTGGGAAGGATTCCATGGATGAGAATCCTCAAGGGGAAAATAACTCAAGAAGCTTGGGAAATTTTGAAAAATGAGATAATAAAAGCACAGTCTAGCACAATACCAACAAAGAGGAAAAACAACAGCTCTCAAAAGAAACCAGCATGGCTGCATAAAGAACCCTCTGACAAACTGAAAGATAAAAAGGACAAGTATAGAAAGTGGAAAGAGGGGAACATAACTAAGTCAGAATATCAGCAAATAGCCCGAGCCTGCAAAGATGAAGTGAGGAAAGCCAAGGCTCAAAATGAACTAAGGCTTGCGACCAAAGTCAAAAATAACAAAAAAAGCTTCTTTCAACATGTAAAAAACAAGAAAAAAGTGAAGGAAATGATTGGTCCATTAGTGGGTGGAAGTGGCAAGAAGGTGACAAGCAACAGGGAGAAAGCAGAACTATTTAATTCGTTTTTTGCATCTGTCTTCACACAAAAGGAAAAAACAGACCAACCTATCAAAAATAATGCCATAAAAAACAAAATAGAAACATAAGTTAAGATAGGCAAGAAAATGGTAAGTGAGCACCTGTCCAGCCTAGATGAGTTCAAATCGCCAGGACCAGATGGATTACACCCCAAGGTTCTCAAGGAACTGGCAGATGAACTATATTTTTCAAAGATCCTGGAACACAGGGGAACTACCAGAGGACTGGAAAAGAGCTGATGTAGTTCCCATCCTCAAAAAAGGAAAAAAAATGGATCCAGGAAATTACAGACCTATCAGCCTGACCTCAATACCTGGGAAGATCCTGGAAAAGATAATCAAACAATGAATCAACGAACACCTAGAGGCAAACAAAGTCATTACTAAAAGCCAACATGGGTTTGTCAAAAATAGATCATGCCAGACAAATCTTATTGCATTCTTTGACCAAGTGACAAAATTAGTGGATCAGAGGAATGCTGTGGACATAATTTACTTGGACTTCAGTAAGGCATTTGATAAAGTAGATCACAACCTACTACTTGATAAGATAGAAAAATGTGGGGTAGACAGAACCACCACCAGATGGATCCGTAGCTGGCTGACCGGCCGTACTCAGCAAGTGGTCCTCAATGGAACTGCATCTATATGGAGGGAAGTGTGTAGTGGGGTACCCCAGGGCTCTGTTCTGGGCCCAGTACTCTTCAACATCTTCATCAACGATTTGGATGAAGGGATAGATGGGGAACTCATCAAATTTGCAGACGACACCAAGCTGGCAGGAATAGCCAACACTCCAGAAGACAGGCTTAAGATACAGAAGGATCTGGACAGACATGAACACTGGGCACTAATTAACAAAATGAAATTCAATGGTGAAAAAAGCAGGGTTCTACATTTAGGCAAGAAAAACCAAATGCACAAGTACAGCATAGGTGGCACCATGCTCAATAGTAGTAACTGTGAGAGGGACCTCGGAGTCCTAGTAGACAATCACCTAAATATGAGCCAGCCGTGTGCTGCAGCTGCCAAAAAGGCCAACACAGTGCTAGGCTGCATTAACAGAGGATAGAATCAAGATCACGTGAAGTATTAATACCACTCTACAATGCCTTGGTAAGGCCACACTTGGAATACTGCATCCAGTTTTGGTCACCACGACGTAAAAAAGATGTTGAGACTCTAGAAAGAGTACAGAGAAGAGCAACAAAGATGATTAGGGGACTGGAGGCTAAAACATATAAGGAACGGTTGCTAGAATTGGGTATGTCTAGTTTAACGAAGAGAAGGACAAGGGGGACATGATAGCAGTATTCCAATATCTCAGGGGCTGCCATAAAGAAGAGGGAATTAAGCTATTTTCCAAAGCACCTGAAGGCAGGACAAGAAGCAACGGGTGGAAACTAATCAAGGAGAGAAGCAACCTAGAACTAAGGAGAAACTTCCTGACAGTGAGAACAATTGATCAGTGGAACAACCTGCCTCCAGAAGCACTAAATGCTCCAACACTGGAAGTTTTTAAGAAGAGACTGGACAGCCATTTGTCCGAAATGGTGTAGGGTTTCCTGCCTGAGCAGGGGGTTGGACTAGATGACCTCCACGGTCCCTTCCAACTTTACTATTATTATTATTATGTTAAGTGATGTCAAAGTTGTAATAGATGAGATAGTGTACATTTTTGGGTCTGATTACCTTGTACAAACATGTTCTGTTAACAATGTGTTTAGATACATTACTCCAAAAGGCACCGTGGGGGAAAGTGATGGTCATTCCTATTTCGTGCTAGCTTGTGCCAGCCAGGGCAAGAATTGTGGGAAATATAGGTGTTCTCTTGTTCTTTGTCTTTTAACCTTCTTGTCGCCATTAATAGTGTGAAGGAAATTGATTGTGCTGGCTTAAGAGGGTTTTTTAAGAGAGAAATTATTGTGGAATTTATCTAGCAAAAGAATGAACTTGGAATTTCAGACTGCTTCTGTTCAATCCTGCCTGAGGACTGGAGAAGGTCCTGGATGGAATGAGTTGTTTGGCAGAAATACAATCAGCACACACAGCAGTAACTAGAGGTTTTGGATAGAATATTGCAATGTTTTTTCCCTGTGGGGGAAAGACATCTCTGCCTCATCCAAATTATCATTCAAAATGAGATTAAAATATGCCAGATGTTTTAATTAGGATTATAAACAATCAGCTATTTTACTTAGCAGTAGTAAGCAATTGATGGCAATCTCTCCAGGAATAATTTGGACCCCTTGTGGTGAATTTTGGTAAAATGTGCATTTATTCAATATTTCTGACAGGATTTTATGCTATGATTTATAATAACTGATAATATCTTAAACTATAAAAGGGAAAAAACTACACTTTAAGCTGCACTTAAAGAAATAGTAACTTTTTAAAAATATTTATGAATTGTAACCTTACTTATTTGTTCATTACTGTTTGGTTAATGTGGGTAGTTTGTACTTCCATGCGTATATTTAAAATTGCCTCCTCCAAAAATAATAAAAAAAACTTTATTTGGAGCCAAGGCTTCTAAATTCAAGCTGAATGTCAGAGACCAAGCAGTCCTCTTGCTCTATGTTCCAGTCCCTAGTTATACAACAATCAAAAGCTGAATCGTTCTTCTCCCAATCTCTCTATCGATCTGTTTCAGGGCCAGCACAAAGCCTTCTCTATTCTTGTGACCTTTACTACTGTGCTAAAAAAAAAAAGATTAGGAACAGCACTCTTAGGTTCCTATCTTAGGCTGACTGGACCCCGGAAAACTGAGTCATAGGGCTCTACATTCTGGGGACTGGAGGCTAAAAACATATGAAGAACGGTTGCAGGAACTGGATATATCTAGTTTAATGAAAGGAAGGACTAAGGATGGCATGATAGAAGTGTTCCAATATTTCAAGGGTTGCCACAAAGAAGAGGGAGTCAAACTATTCTCCAAAGCACCTGAAGGCAGAACAATAAGCAATGGATGGCAACTAATCAAGGAGAGAAGCAATCTAGAATTAAGGAAAAACTTCCTGACAGTTAAAACAATTAATCAGTCAAGTGGCTTGACTTTGGAAGTTTTTGCTGCTGCATCATGGGAAATTTTTAAGAAAAGATTGGGCTACTACTTGTCTGAAATAATATAGGATCTCCTGCTTGAGCAAAGGGCTGGACTAGAAGACCAAGAGGCCTTCTAACTCTGTTATTCTGTTATTCTATTCTGTTACATTCACCTGACGTTTCAGCATTCTGAAATTGTTGATCCTTATGTTGAACTTTCAATGATTTTTATTTTTTCCCAGCGTAATCTAATTATGTTTTGCAGGCAGATAGATTTAGAAAGCAAAAACCAACCAAACAGCTTTGTGTATTGGCATCCATTGAGGTACTATACTTGTGGAAAGCCCTTCCAAACTGTTCATTCACCAATCTACAGCACATGAGTCAAGGTACATATGTGAATTCTGCTTTATTTTTTGAATACATCCTTTCTTCTACAAGACAATATGTTCTCCTGTGCCCTTTTTCAATTCCTGCTAGCAAGCAGTTTGTGCCACTTTGAAGCAAGAAGCTGATTTCCTGATCTTATTCCTGTACCTTGACCTGATTAATTCTAGTGCATAAAATATTAAGAAATAAGTTGATAATACAGGTAGTCCTTAGGTTAAGACCACTTGTTCAGGGATCATTCCGAGTTAAGATGCCATTGAACCAGGTGATTAGTCTTTGAAATTGCAGCCATTGCAGTTTCCCCATGGTCATTTGGGCACTCAATAACTCGTAATTACAATGGTTGCAGCATCCTGTAAATTATGTGATTGCCATATGCACCTTCCCTGCTAGCTTCCCACAAGGAAAATCATTGGGGAAACTGGCAGGAAGTCACAAGGTGCTCCTATTCTTGTCACTTTTTCACCTGTCCATCCTTATACCTGTTCTTTCTTTCAGAGGACCTGCTTGCCCACCTTCTGTAGCACCCACCCACAGCACCTGCTGGGCTACCCACACTCCATAGCACTTGCCTGTGGCATTGCCTATCCCTCAAAACACTGTAGTACCCGACCACAGCACCTGCCCACCTATTTCTACCTCTAGCCTTTCAAATTCAAACTTCCTGAATTTCTGCCTCTTTTCAATAGTCCTCACTTAATGATCCATACAGCCTTCACTTAATGACAGCAATGGGGACTGCCAGTAAGCACTATGGTCACATAATGTTGCACTTTATTACCACATCACTTGTGATAGAAATTTTGGTCTCAATTGCCATTGTAACCTGAAGACTACCATTAACAATTTGATTTTAAAGTGTCAAATGTGTTTTAGTAAATGCCGTTTTTATTGTAGCTTATTGTTTTGGTTGCTTGTACACTAGTCGTTTTAGAAAAATTTCACAGAAATACATATGTCAAATTGTCAGATTAGCATTATGAAGATTAAATATTCAAGAAGGGGACACATACCTTGCTAAGAATAGATTAGCCCTTTTGTCCAAATGTTACTAGAGGTAAAGGCTGGGTTAAAAACTTTCTTAGCAGCCTTTTAAGTAGGCCTGCCTCTGAAGAATTTTGAATCTAGAGAATGGTGGTGTAGAATGGAAGAATAGTATCATTGTAAAACGTAAACTCTAATCATTGTGATTTATTCCTATCCTTTTGTCTTTCTAAAGCTTGCCAGGAAATTGACGATTCAATAGTTGTTGGTTTGAAGAACTTGCTACTTGGTGCCATACATAAATGCTTAGGAAATGCTGAAGATGCTGTTCAGGTAACTAAGAACTGTGAAAATGTGCTAGTATATTTGAGCATGTAAGAAAAAAAAAAACAATTTGTTAACAAGAAAACATACCATTAATGGTAATAAAGCAAATGAAAATTGTAGTATGAGAATACGTAGAGCCAAGAATAACTTCACCTTATAGGCCAAATTCAAACTGTCAAATCATAATCCAACCCATAGAGTTTTTCTACTCTTCCTCTTCCTCTTTGTTTCCTCATTTATTTCCCATTCCCTCTTTTGCCTAGTTTTGCTTGCAGTAAATTATAGTTTTTTATTAATTGTTTGAAATCCAGGAGAATTTCAGAAATAATTTTAACAGTCTTTCTTTCTTTCTTTCTTTCTTTCTTTCTTTCTTTCTTTCTTTCTTTCTTTCTTTCTTTCTTTCTTTCTTTCTTTCTTTTTTAGAAAGAATGACATTTATTGATAGTGACTGCAGAGATTATGTGTATGTGTCAAGTCTTTTCTATTCAGCAGGTTTCAGATTTTGCAATCTCAAAACCTACTATTTATCCATAGCCACTAGCAATTATTTCCCCATCTAGCTTTGATTTGATTCATTTATCAGTTTGAAATAATAATTGGCAAATGAAGAGATTTTGTGAATGGACAACTAATGAAAGTTTCTGAGTTGAGTGCAAAAATTCATTTTGTTCTTAGAAACAATGGGATAATTTTTCTTTTGCAGTTCTTTCAAAGAGCCCTTAAAGATGAAATCTGCCACCAGAACAACCTGTATGTTCAACCATATGCTTGCTATGAACTTGGCTGTCTTTTATTAGAAAACCCTCAGGTAAAGAGGGAGGGAGGGAGGGAGGGAGGGAGGGAGGGAGGGAGGGAGGGAGAGAGAGAGAGAGAACACCAATGTGAGTAAGGGCTACAATAGATTAACATGACTCTTATCTTACAATTCCCATGTGAAGAAAACACCCTTTTCTTTTAAGAAAAGAGTAGCAGAAAGTAACTGGAACTTATTTTTATGACTATCAGATTAATTAGTTTTATTTTCTATTTCAAGATAAATATTGTATTGTTATTATTTTTATTTTCTGTTTTTGGAAGGTGACATGGAAATTTCTAAAATGATATTTGCTTCTTCCTACAGTCTGTCCCAAGAGGTAAAGTGTTACTGCTTCAGGCAAAGGTAATATTCAGAATGCTTTTAAGTATTTTCTTTGCTGGGGTCTCTTTTTCCTTGCAGTGTAGCCAGTGGTGGGATTCAAATATGTGAACAACTGGTTCTCTGTGTGGATGCCACTTCCAGAAGTCCGTTCTGGGCCTGGGCAACAAAAAATTAGCTACTGGTTCTGCTAAAGTGGTATGAAAGAGGCTTACTAACTAGGGTGAATGGAAAAAACCCCTATATTCTTTTGTCTTTAGTATTGTATTTGCCTTGGAGAATTAGAAAACATGTTTAACTTCCAAAAACTTACAATTAAAATAATACACCATCTTGTACATCCCTTTAAATTACCGTGCCTCTTTACTGCTATGGGTTTAATTTTTACCTTTATTTTCTATTACAGGAAGAATTCACAGGGTATGATTTTGAGAACAGGCTGCATGTTCGCATCCACGCAGCATTAGCCTCTCTGAGGGAAGTGGTCCCCCAGTGATGAACAGAAATGCTTTCATCTTTTCTTTTTCGACTTTTGCACTCTGAGGGCAAAGTTGTCAGGAAGATGAGCTTTCCTCCAGAAAACCTTCCTGTGCAAGAGATGTTTTCCTAAAGATGCAAAGCTGGTGATGGAAAAATGTTAACAATCTCAACAATTAAGGACTCAGCCAAAAAGGTTAAGTGACCTTAGGCTCAAACAAATGGTGATTTCACCTGCATAAGTCCTTTTAAATTAGGGGAAGCTAGACTTTGTGTTCAAACCCAGCCCCACAGACAGGGGATGGTGCTCGAGAATTCCTTTGAATATTAAAGTCCTTTAGTTCCAATGCTTAGAGATGTCTTTTTTTGTTGTTTTTTGTCAAGCTGGAGATCATAGCCAGCGGCTGTACAAATGAACCAACAATGATCACATTTTTATTTTCTGTAATCAATATTGGCTTGGTTTCTAATATTTTCCCATTTCTGAATAGCTTATTCATTCTTCTGTAGAAAGGAACCCTTTCATGGAAACAATATTATAAAGTTGTTTCAATATGGTATAGAAATGAATATAGTTATATTTAAAAGCCAACTGATATGAAGCTGTAAACTTGCCTGGTGCATTTACAGCACAACAAACTTGCTCACAGAACTTTTCTTGGTCATTCAGATATATGTAAATAATGAAACCTGCTCCCATATTTATTTTAAATTATGAAAATATATTTAGAAGCTTTATTTTTTAGCCAAATGTTTATTTTTTAAATCCTTAAGCGTTGTGTTAAACATTTGATACCTATTTTAAATGGTAGTGTGGATAATTGGTTGTCAACAAGAGATTTGTGAATCACTCATGTTGCTAAAATGTAGGTTAAACATGAAAAACTTGCCTTCTGGCATTTTTAAACCTATAGTAACACTTCTGGTTTTAGAACAATATAACACAGTGGAATTTTATTCAATTTTCTGACTTTTAAAGTTGTCACACATTATTTTAGTGTGTATGTATTTTTAAGGCAAATATTGTTTTTTAAAAACAATTTTAGCATAGCAGCTTTTCCTATATACTGTGAAACTTTTTTTTATGGCATTAAAGCCTTATTTTCAATTTCTGAAATTTCTCTTTCACAACTCTGGATTCTCACCTGAACTGCTAAATGCTTTATCTTGTTTGTAGTTCACTTGAACAAACAAGCCCCAAAGAGCATTAAGAAAGAAGAAATTTACAGATCACGATTTATAACTCATATGGAGTTACATTCACAAGGGCTTCCCTGTTCGCTTTCAGCATTAGGTAATACTGTCATGAGCATACATAGGATAGTTCCTGTCCTGTGTTATGAGCTCAGTGTTTGGATCATCAAATGTGAATTGGAACCAAATGACCAAGTACATCATGTAACTGCTAAATTGCATAGGCTGTTTCTTGCTACCCTCTCCAAAAATACTTAATGGCTACTAAATTTGCAATGCTCTTTTTTAAAAAAAATACTATATTCTCTAAACAATTATCTCAGACCTGATCGTCAAACATTCTTGATTTATTGCTTTGGGAGATTTTGTTCTAAATGTTCAGTTTCCTATCTTGTATTTCAACATACAGACATTGGTGTTTGTTGTCACATTGCCATTTCAGTTATCTGTACAATTTGTCCTTTACAAACCAAGAATTACCAGAGAGGCTGTGTGGTGCCCATCCCATATCATCACCATCATCAGAATCATATTAGAGCTGCCATTGCTTAGTCTGATTGTAATTCTGATTCTGGCCTTCTCTGTAGCAGCTCCAGACTTTTGGAACCTGCTTCCTACTGAGAGAAGAGGATTAACATAATTCATGGCCTTTAATAAGGCTTTTACACTCACTGCCTTGTCCCTAGCTATTTTAATAGTGGCAATTTATTTATATTTTTATTTGTTTCAGTATTTTTACCCCAGTCTATTAAAATGACTCTAATTCGTTCACAATCATAAAATATCCAAATAAAACAAGATTAATTAAGTACTGTATAAATTCTAAACCAGTTGTATAATTCTAAACCAGTCAGGTAAAACATTGCAATGAGAAAAAACAAATAGGAAATTATAACAGAGATATAACTTCTGTCTTGCAAATAAGATATCAAGCAAGCATTTTACATCCAAAATATCTTGCAAAATCATCTTCGTTAACTTTCTTAAAAGATAATATGTTCCAGGATATCGGGATTTCTGTGGAGACATTATTTCATAACGATGGCAGCTACTGAGACCATTTCTAGGCTTCTCCACATCTCCTGAGACAAATATTTGGAATGGACAGTTGGCAAACAAAGCCTTTATAGGCCAGAAATGGCAATTTGAATTATCTTTTGAAATTAATTTGAAACAACACAGTACCTTGAAGTTACATGGCTGAAGTAGCTTTCACTTGTCAGCAGTTTTCTAGTAGTTTTTGGGATAGCCTCAAATAAAGTGCATTGCCATTATCACATTTTGAGAAGGTGAGGGCACAAACCACGCTTGTCAAAACCTTCTGCTCCAAAACGGGCCTCAACTGGTGCATCAGTCAAAGTGGAGCAAAGGCCACATCTTCCACCTGTGGATCATATTGTGGCTATGAGTTCAAAAGTCATGAACCTGCTTTTTAAGGTGGAATGCAACTCTTATCTACAGCCAATATAGTAATTAACAAAGGATCAGATATTTCTGGACTAGCAGCACCTTACTCTTATTGGACTTAAGTTTCAGCTTGCTTCAACTGTTAATTTGATATAGACTACAGACATCATATGAGGACTACCAGTGCATCAGTAGTCTGACCTGTGATTGAGCTACACCATGGAATATTAACATATTGATGGCACCTCATCCAGAAATGATCTCTCCTACTGGTTTCATACAAATGCTAAACACAGGCAAGAATGGCATGAAGTAAATGATCAAGGGCTACATTCCTGATCCTCAGCACTAATGACTGGAGCTACCCCTACAGAATGAAGTGGAACCATAGCAAAACAATGCAACATACCCCAAATCCTAGCAGATGGTCCAGAAGAAAAGCATGGAGGGTGTGAATGTTTTTCAGAGGTTTATAGGATCAGGAGAGTTGACCTTTCTTGACAAAGATAATCTAGCAGAATGTCCTATACTGTTTTCATCTTCATTAAAAAAGGAAGATGAATCTAGGTGGAAGTTATATAATAGAACATCACTTCATCTGTTTCATCTCCCAGAATTATTGGTAAATGAATGGGCAAATCAAAGCAGAGGGAAAGGCTCCTCAGGAGAGAGCATAGCCAGCATTCTCATCTCTCAGTTTCAGAGCTTGACCAGTTCCATGGCAGAACTATCTACCAAAAATCCATAAGCGGCTACCGAAAATGATGCAGTGTTAAGTGTTCAGGTAGCTCATTCTAATTAGCCCTTACCCTTTCAGATGTCACTGGTGCCAATAGGCAACATACTGACTGGGAAGTGATCTGATCATGACTGTTGCCATATTCTTAACGCAATCCATCTGCTCTGGCTTGAAGAAAATGGCAACATATGGACCTAACATTCATAGCAGTCCAAGGCCAAAGTATGCATCAATCTGGCCTCTTGAGCTCAGGGAAAGGGCATCTGAAGAAAAAGACAGATCAAGTAGACAACCCCTCCCTCTCTAGGAATAGCTTCTCCTTTCATAGTTCCCATTGCTCATCACTGTGGTAATTTGCCTCATCCTCACCTTCAAAGGGATCAAGGTCTTTAGGATTTTCCTAACAAGAAACTATTATTTCCTGTCCCTCCATGAACTATCTGTCTGGCCAATGACATTACTGGATTATACTTCAAAATCCCCACATCCAACTACAAAATGAATCTCGTAACCCTGAAGAAACTGTTGAGGCTGCCAGATACCAACAACAGTTCACTCTCCCAGCTTAATTCACCAAAAGTTTACTTCCCTCCAATAATTGATTTCCCAAAAGTTCCTTACTTAGATATAGCATATTCTAGTCAGAATGCTAAACATTCATCAGATTCTTGGACAGTCAAGTTTAATCAGCATTTTAAATCTGGTTTTAGCAGCAGCACTATCTCTACATATTTGTGACACAAAGGGCTTTTGAGTGCCCAGACCCAAAGGAACCCCAGCCATCCTGCATTTGGAAACTTAGGTAGCTAAAGTAAAGGAAAAATCATTTTAGGATGATGAGAATACAGGATGGGGAATTCTGTGTAATTCTGAAAATAGTTTTGATCAACTGCGATTTATAGATATATAATTTCTCTGCATTATTTTGCTGTAACAGTTTCTTATTTGTACAGGCATTTTTTTCAACATGCAGTCTTTCACAAAACAAATTGCTAAATTGAAAGAGGCCCACACTATAAGTTGTAACAAAATTGCTTAAATTACTTGTGATTACAGGCCAGCAGGGGTGTTTGCAGAATATGATGAAAATATCCAAGGTGGCAGCCACGATGGTGTGATCAAAGATCCACTTGTTTTTATGTGTGCTGGATGTGTATAAAAATGGATGAAACTTTAATTGCAGCATCATAGTTGCTCTTTTTGATTTTTTTTAAACCATACTCTGCAAACGTGCCTACGTGCCAGGAAATGTGTGAATGAGATAAATTTGCAAAACTTGTATATTCTGATTTTGGAGTCATTGGCTGGTTCCTTCAAAAGCCTGTTTTATAGAGTCCACATTACCTTGCCATGGATATGCTTCTGTCACCATGTCTGCTCTGAGATGCATTAATCTTGCAAGCAAAATGGCTGTCTGGTATATGAATAGTAGCTTTCTGCTCCAGTCACCCATGTATTCCCACTCCCACTATTACTTTCCCCATATATACCTTCTAGAAGAAACCTCTTGTAAACATGAAAGGTATTTTTATATTAGATTATGCTGTTGATGAGAACAATCGCGACTGTATTTTATGTAATCAGAATGTTTTTATATTTTAAAGCTCGGAGGCATGATCTAATGGCAATAATAGACTAAGCATCTCATAGGTTAATATATATTTTAAGAATTTTACCAAGGCAGATATATTTTTGTTGTTGATACTTTTTACTGCATCAGTGAATAACTTGTCATGTCATTTTAGATTGTTTACTATGATATATTATAAGTCTCATTTATTTAACATTTTTTTTAAAAAAAATATTTCTGCTTAAATTAAAACTTGATATTTTCATGTTTCAATGTCTTGCAACCAGAATGAGTAACATGATTTTCTTCTGTTGTTGTTGTCTTCCAACTCCCATCAACAATAGTTAAGAAGGATAATTGTGAGGGATAATGGGAATTGCAGTTGGGAGGAAAAACGGGAGGGCCCAAGATAGACCACTCTGGCCTACAACCGGATCGTGTTTTGATTTCAAGTACTGCATGTTTTTCAGGGATTAAATATTTATGAAGGAGAATTCTTACTTATGACTCCAATTAATGTTGCACAGGATAAGCATAGAATGTATCTTAATACTGTAATAATCCTTGTTTAATGCAGCGGAAGAGGCTCTTTTCAGAACAGAGGAAAAGAAGGGGGAATATATTGGGAAAAAAATCTGCTTTTCCTGGTGCTTTTTTGACCACGGAAAAACTATTTGAATATGATAATGCCTCCTCTCCTAACGTATTGGTAAAAAACAACAACAGGGGGAAAGATCTGGATTTGGGGAAAAGCGTGCGCTCTCTCTCACTCACTCACACACACACATTCTGTTAACAAATAAATCTCAATTCTTAGAACAGTGAGTAGACCCAAATTGCTTAGATTTCTTCTGAAGTGGTAAACTTAAGCCTAGCTGTTTAACTTTAATTCATATGTAGGGGATTTGTGTGATTGGATTATTCTTCTAGGTAGAAAATTATTTCACTATAAATGGTTTCTAACAATAGCATACTTCTTAGTTTTTTATGTACAGCCAGGCACTAACTGATCATTTTCCTGAGAATTAAACCAAGTTTCTGTTTATGGTATTCTATGTTTAGTAGATATATTACATATGCTTTATTCAATAGAACTTACATATGACTATCACAGTACAAAATACATGTGGTATCAATTCAGAATAGCTGATTTATTTAAATTGTTGATTTTTAAAATATACAAAATTATCGTTTTCCTGTAACAACATTGAGAATGATGTAGGAAATCCCAGCTTTAATATACACATGCTGTTTTTAGTTGATATTCTGCAATAAACTTGGGTACTGGATACTCAGTTCAAAGTTTCAGCTGTGATTTGGATAAGAGTAATTATACTTTGTTTGCTTCCCATGTAGAATCTGTATTTTTTAAATGTAGTTTTTCTGTTTCAGTTTTTCTCTGGTGCAGACTTGGTTCTGCTATTTTCAATATTATATTTATTATTCTCTACATTTGTTTTTAAATAAAATCTGTAAGAACTTCTTTTGCCTCTCCAGAAATGTATTTTAATTCCTGCATGTTGGTAGAACAGCAGTTTGTTTCTTTAAAAACGAAAAGTTACCTTCATGCTCTATAACCATAAATAATAGGCAATAGGGAAGAGGGCTTTAAATGTTAATGTTTCATAAGGATTCTACAGAAGGACAGTTAATGTGAACATTAACTAAATTTTATTGTTTTGATTGCCAAAACCCAAAATATAATAGGCTGTTTGGAGACAAAAGGTATGTTGTATCTATTTATTTTATTTATTAAATGTATAAGGCCACCCACCTGTAATAATAAAACAATTTAAAAATAGAAACAACAAGGGTCTGGAAATCTCTAACAGAGCCATATAAAGTATCCCAGGAAAAGACTGGGCTTTAAGGGCTCCTTTAAATAAGGCCAGGAGAATCCCTGGAGAAAAGTTCCTGAAGACAGGCACTGCAACAGAGAAGACAGACTTCCTGGATCCCACCAGTAACATTGTTTACATGATAGGATTTGGAGCATGCCAACTCTTCCTGATAATAAGAATGGGCAGAAACTACAGAAGGCAAATGATCCCTCAGATGACATCTTCTATGTCATTTATAACAGAATTGGATACAATTCATAAATTGTAGGCTCATTTGTGATGCTTGAGATATGTTTCCCTTCCTCTTTCAGAGTGGAAGTACAACAATATCAAGTAGGGATTTGAGTGATGTAAGTTGCATCTGTAATATAATATGGTCAATTATCTTTTGTAATAAGGCTACTGGTTTTATTTGACATTTGGAAGTATTTCTAATTAAGGGGTGTATTAAGGGGTTGAATGGTTGGAGATCATGCCCTAAGTCTTATTTGTACTTGGCATATTGTATTGCGTAACTGGTTTGTCTTTATGGAATTAGTAAATTAAGTAGTTTTCTCTGTTTCAGCATTCCTATGGAATGTATGAGTTGACTTGTGGGAGTTTCATAAGCAACTTCTGTCTAAGATTTAATGCTGTTTCTGTTGAATATGAAAACCTGTGATAGAATTCTAAGGAAATTTAATGGCATATATGTAGAACCCATTCTGATTTGGAATTCACAGCTATCAGAATTTTCATCTGGGAATTGTATACATAGACACCCCCATGTTTGCAGAATTGTGTTCAAGATTCTCCTGCTCAACACTCAAGAGGAAAGAAAGGAATTATTATTATAACATGAAATTAATGTGGAGAATGTGGATTGGGTTGCATATTTAACTCACTTTTGGTGCCTTGGTGAATCCCTTCCTACTAAAAGTAGGAACAAGTTGGCATACTAGACCTATCCTTTCACACTTCAAAAGCAGCCAATTGCATTTCAGTCTTCATAGTCAGAACCTGAGATGTTCATATCTTCTTGCTAAAATCGTCAAATAGAATATTCTTTTTCTGCATTAATTCTAGCAAATGAAAATTAACAGATACAGTTTATTTCTATAAATGAATCTATAATAATTCCAACCAAGTAAAATATACAAAGTATTGCTTAGAGGAATGTTAGTATTTTAATATATGCACGCTCCATTTACAATTGTCTAATTATAACCCCCATGTTAACATTGAACATGCAATTGGCGGCGGAAATCCCAGACTAACCTTTCACAATAGGACAGAGATGGGGAGACGAGACTATTCACAACAATATCCAGTCTGATTTCTTGTCAGTATCTGGTATTATAAAATGTACACAAGCTTAAATATTCTCAGAGGCTCATGAGTTAGTTTAATTGCTAAGTTTACAGGAAATCATGTAAAGAGAACAAGTTCTGCTCTCAAGAAATCTGAAATATGAAGTACTTTTTTGTTTAAAAAAAATACATTTTTATTTAATAGTATGCTGTCTTCAGTTAAGAGAAATTGCAGCAGTTGCTCTAAAAAATTGATGTTTTGAAGATCGTGCTGCCTGGAGATTAAGGGAACTAAAGTCCAAAACTCCCGAAATGCATCAAGGATGGACATTCCCATTGTTTGTGCATAAGCATATGAAAACATTGAGACGAAGTTAGATGTCTTTAACGCGGATCATTGGACCAGCAGTAGCCGGACTTTGTGACCTCATAAATGCGTGCACTCTAGTCCCGCCCACTAAGAGCCTATCCATAAAAGGTCCTCGGGGCTTTTCTCTAACTTCAGAGGAGGCTCCGGCAAGGGGCGAGAAAGGAGCGATCTCGTTGCTGACAAGCGCAAAAAAATTTAAAAAAGAAGGTTGGGGAATTTTCAGGTCAACCGCGGGACTGTGGTAAAAGGCTTCCTCGGCCTCTTACGTCTGGCACGGTATCGAATGTGGGAGGGCAAGTGTGAGAATGAGGCACAAGCCGCGGGACCCTTTCGGGTGGTTGTGCATGGGCGGAACAGGGGAATGTGCAGCATCAGACATAAGTGTCACCCGAACCAGCAACATAAGACAACGGCTTGGAAACGCACAGTTGCCAAGGCACGATGGCTTGGCCCGATAGATTACTTTGGTGACTTGGCTAATCGACGTCTATTGCAGGAGTTCCCGCCTTCGCAGTTTAGCAATTAAGTAACGTTGCGCGTTTTGTACATTTTCGAAGGCAAAGACCCTGAAATCGTAAATGTTCTTCCCTAAGCTGGCATTCTCTAGAGCCGCCGCACAATTCCCATAAGTATTCTGGAGCCCATCACTGCTGGGATAAAAAGCTTTATATCTGAGGCAGAAAGCTTATTGTAGTTGTCGGATAAGCTCTCTCTCTCTCTCTCTCTCTCTCTCTCTCTCTCTCTCTCTCTCTCAGATATATATATGTATATCTTTAAGAAGGAAGTACTCGCTGGAGTTAAAAGACAAAATTCCAGTGGTTTAGGAATACGTGAGTGGCAATTTCACTCGTTGGATATAGGATGGGTGGCAAATACATTTTATATTTTCACATTTCTTGGAAGAGTTTTATCTATCATGAACATTAATGGCTCTAAAGCAGTGGTTCCCAACCTTTTCTATACCCTGCATCCCTAGAACGCTTCTGATATATTCTCGCATCCCTTACATAATTTGTATATGCAACGAATTATGCATATACACTATAATTTTGAAAACCCAAGTTTTCGCACCTCCTGGAATATCATCTCACACCCCCAGGGGGTGTGAGCACCCCTGGTTGGAAACCCCTGCTATAAAGGGTACAAATATGGTGCTCTGCTCCAAGATTTTTTGTTTTTGTTTTTTTATATATACCAGAGTTAGCAGTTCTAAGAGCAGAATCAGAATGGAAAAAGAACATTTAAACTACTGAGTTCAACTTTGCTCCAGGCAGAAATCCAAATGAAAAAATCCTGACAGGTTGCTGTTTAGTCTCTGCTTAAATACTTTCAGTGAACAGGACCTCAAAATACTTTTGAGTGGTTCCATTGTCAAACTGTACTTACAAGTATAGTATTTGTAAGTACTTTTTTCCTACAATCAAAATCTTCCTTTGTGTAAATCAAAACCACTATTCCAGGTTTTATCATCAGGCATGAAAGAGTACAGATGTTGACATTCATATCCTTTCAGGTACTTGAAAATTTACCATCATATCCCATCCACTTATTCCATCTTCTGAAGGCTAAATATTTATAGGCCTGGGTGAATTTCAGTCATTCTGCTACACTGAAATGCTTGGCCTCATGCAGGTGTGCAACTGCTTCAATATACAGAAGTAGAATTGGACTGGTCTACCTTAAACATCAGTTCAACTTCAGGGGAAATAATTTCTGGGCACACACTGTATGTGAACAGGAACTACTTTTCCTGAGCCAAGGACCTTTACTGCTCTGCTCTGCTGCAGTACACTGAAGTGTTCGAGCAAAAAAGGTTTGAATGAGCGCTTTGCTCAAATCTTCATCAAATCAAAGGACCTTTTCAACTATTAGTTCAGCCCTACTTAATGTTCCATGTTCCTTTAATCTGCCTTCATAGGATTTTGTTTCTAGTTTATCCTCCTCTTGCCTTTTTGGAAATTATTCTAGTTTGTATGCATCCTTGTCAAAATGGAATAACTAGAATTTTGAGTCTCAGCACAGAATAAAATGAAACTATTATTTTCTGTGATCTGTACTTCTTTTCATGTAATCTAAAAGTGCATTTGCTTTTTTTTTTGCAGACACATCATACTACTGACTCATATTTATTTTCTAATAAACTACAGTTTCAAGATACTATTCACTATTGTCAGGCCAATTATTCCCTATCCTGTCTGTACCTGTGCATTTGTTTCCTGAATGAAAAGCTTTGCATTCATTCTCATTGAATGAATTCAATAAATAATTATTTTATTTATAGCCCAATTCTTTAACAAACTAAGCTTATTTTGAAATATATTTCTTCAAATATTAGCTGTCCTTTCCAATTTCCTATCATCTTGAAATTTGATAAGTATTTCTACTATTTCTTCTGTCATGGTTTAGAGCACAGAGGCCCACACTTAACTAGCTTGCTATTGGTATATTGTGGAATATTTTGTCAAATGCTTTGCTGAAACTAAGAAAGTTTATGTCTGTAGTATTTCCTCACTCTACTAATGAAGTTATCCCATCAAAATACTAACATTAATTTGGCAAAACCTCCAAATCCAGACTAAACTCTCAAAATCAAGGTGCTTATATAAAATTGCTTTACGATTGCTTTAGAACCTACTGTACAATGGTGTCAGATTTAATTATTTTAGTTCTCTTTCTTTTTCTTAGAAGCATTTGCCTTATTAATTCTTCAATTCTGTGTCCTCATCCTGCTTTTTAAGATGCCTGATGAAATCTATAATATTTTGTGGGAGAAGACTGAGTCAAAATAAGAAGTAACTAATTCTGTCATTTCATTATTATCTTTTAGTATTTTTCCATCTTTGGTTTCTTTTCATTTTAAAGAGATCTGAGGTGATCTATTTTGTTGTTTTAACATCCTTTGTCAAACTTCAACACTTTTTGAGTTAGTCATTCCTCTAAATCTCTCCAATTTTATGCTCACTTTGTACTCTCCTCCTTGATGGCCTGGCCCTCTTTTTATATCCTATGTGGTGAGGGTTTTTTTGGGGGGGGGGGGATTTCATGTAATTTTTTTGTAGACATAGTGGCTTCTGTTGTCTTTCCTTTTCAGTACCTTGAACTATTTACAGCTGTACTTTTAGGAGTAAACTAGTATACTAATTTGTAGTTTCCCTTAAAACTCCAGCATTATATGATTGCTTTCCTCTAACGTAGCTGCTGTTTCATTTATCACAAACTTTTTCCTATCCCCATTGGATAGTATGAAATCAATGTTATTTGATGCTCTTATATCTTCAACTGCTCTTTAAAGGGAAAACGTTTTCAGCAAAACGAAGCAGGAATTTCCTGGAAAATCCATGCTTGACAGAATTTATCTTTCAACAGATACTGAGGCATTACAATCCTCTGTCTATACAGTATTGTTCCATGTCTTATTGGAATATCTGCTGTTTCCTTTTAGAAGGCATAATCCACCTCTTCTCCTTGGTTAGGGAGGTAATAGTAGACTCCAACAAAAATATTGTTTTTATTTATTCCTGTGTTTAAAATCTGGATACTCTACACAAGTTAATTAATTTGGGTTTCTGAGAACTTACAGAGCAACATATGGTGCAATTTCTCCTCATTCATTCTGTTGCTTTTCCTCTAGAATACATTTGATTTCTGTATTCCAATAAGACTCATCTCACCAGGTCTGTGATTATTGTCATATTTTTCTTATGATAAAAGTTCAAGCTTTTTCCTTTCTTTATTTTTCATATTTTGCTTATGAGAACATAGGCCTTAAGTTTTACAAACATTTTCCTCTTATTTTTCAATTTGTGATTTAACAGGGCCAACTACATCACTCACAATTCCTTTTAAATTATATGCATTTATTTAATATCTTAACTTCACTGGTGTTGTTTTTCTGGATTCATTTAATGTCCTCCTGACTGAGTTCCATATGCTTCAGTTCCACATATTTTAACTGATTTATTTCCAATTAACAATTATTTGCCATTTATTTACTTGCAGTTTACTGCCATATTCAGTAGGCACTTATTCCTAAAACATGGGAATAAGATTGTACCAAAAGTAGTGAAACATTGATTTTAAAATTCTGATAGAGATTCCAGCTAAGCATACAAACCAAAAACTTAAGTACTAATGGAATACTTAGTACTTAATCCTTAGACATAGTAGAGGAATTCTAAAGCCATTGAAATTGGTCCTGCTGAATTGTCTCTTTTGTTTAATATTATATACAGTTTCAAGAAGTAACATATTCAATTTAAATCTGATGTAACTTTTGTAAATAATGTTCTGACATATTGATCAGATCAATCTGAGCAAACAGATTGTTTGAGAGCTACCTTATGCCTCATTATGACCTTTGAAATGATTTGTTGGATGATGACACAAAACAAATTTCCACCCAAAGTTGGTATGCACTAGGCTTTTTTTTTTCTATCGGTCAATTCAGCAGTCAGTAGAAGAGGTGCATATAAATGCACATGAAGGCAACTTGATTGGATTTGATTCATAAATGCCCTTAGGATAAATCTTCAAGCTCTATAAAGGTGAATCCACAAATGCTACAAGGCTAGATTGATGTTTCCTGATTTGGTGCCTCCCAAACACGTTGGACATTCAAGACCTGTAATCTTATAATCAACACCGGCATTGCTTACTCTAAGATTATAACAGTTAAAATCCAACACATCTGGTGCCATTGGCTTGGGAGAGGCTAAAGTTGGGGTGCCCCAATCCTTTTTCATCCCTTTTCTTTCCTTTCAGTTGTGAGTTTGCAGTTTCATGTTCAACTGGCAACAATGCATACTGCAAAGCCCAGGATGGTGGTCCCATATGGCCTCAAGACTCTACTTGAAGGAGTGAGCAGAGCAGTTCTCAAAGCTAGTCCCTCCAACATCACTGAGTTTGCTGCTGAGTATTTCAAAGAACTGATAGTTTTTCGAGAAGGTTTGTCTTTTTTGTTTTAAAAGGTTAAATATTCATCAATATAAGCAAACCAACAATCACTCAAACTAGTGTGTCCTTATATTAGCTCTGATAGGAAATGTGTTTCACATATCAGTTTTGTACAAGCAGAGATTTAGGTCTATAAATTGATTGCCTTTCTCTGTTTTTTCTTTCCAGAACATCCTAATCTGGATATCAAAGAACTGGTGAGAGAATTTCATATGACAAGAGGTATGAGATTAAAGTACTAAAAATGAATTGTTGCCAGGGTTTCACATTATTTAATGTAATGTTATTTAATGTAATGTTATTTAATTAAACATTATTTAATGTTTCTTTTGAGGGGAGATTTTAAAGAAAATTTAAATGTAATTTCTGATGCTGCGAGTGAAAGTGGAAGACAAGGCTTTCCTCCCTGACATTGTTCTTACATTGAAAATCATCCATCCATCCATCCATTCATAACATCCATCCATAGATTATAAATCTGAAAAACCAAAGGTGACTTATATTTATGTGAATTAAATATAGCAGAAAAACACCTGATTTAAAAAAACCCAACTAGGCCGATGTTTGAAATGGTAGTAATGTAAAATTCCTGATTCAATAGTTTTGCATATTTGCCAAAGCCTAATACTTTTGTTCACGGAAATGAGAGGTGAGAGACAGATTGGGTAAGCAGTGAACGTAATTTTAGTGCAGTCCAGGAATGTCCTGAAGATTGAAACAATTTATTGACAGAATGTGAAAGGGTTAATAAGCAAAAGGAAAGATTTCAAGTTTCTACCAGGGCTGAGATTGTACTGTATCGGTGTGGGAAATATGTGTTAGCATATAATCAGTCCACAGTTACCTAGCTGGGGCATAGGGAGCTAGATGATTAAAACAGGAGAAGGATGGTAGAGTGCTTTCATTTGGATTCCATCACTGTGCAGGGGTTCAGACTTGATGGCCTTGCTAAACACCCTGCAAATCTAGCACGTGATTCTTCTATGTTTCCTGTCTAAGTCCCAGCAATTTTTGAAAGCCTCTAGCTATTCTAAATTTTTCATTTTGACTGCAGCTCTGAGGTTGCCATGCAGGGATCCCACATTTTTTTTTTTTTTTTGAAAACTAGTATTTTTACTTTAAGTAAGATTAGATGAGTATCTGGCATGCTGTAAAATAGGGACATCAAATCTTCCTTGCCACAAATGCCCCTGGATTCCATATGGGCCCCAGAAGCATCCATCTGAAACAAAAATGTATTAGGCGCAATCATTTGTAAATATGGCTTCTATCACGTATAGTGAAAAAAGACATTTTGTTTAACAGACTGCGTTTAACACAAACTGGTTTATATTGGTGTATGAACCCGATCGGCCAAATATTTTTCTTCCTGTCCTTGTTTCTTGCATATGGTTTGCTAGGGATGAGGCTTATACTAATTGGTTTTAGAATTAAATGATTTCAGCAATTTAGGTTAGTTAGATACCTGCATTTAATAAAGTAATGCTAGCTTCAGACTGGGTAAGATTGATAGATGGAGATAGGATCTCAATAGTCTTAATATTGCTGTCCATGAAATGCTCAGCTCATGGGAAGACTGGTGTGACTGTGGTTTGTGTATGAGGCAAAGGAAGAAAAAAAAAGAGTTGTTCATTTTGTATAGAATACAGTCCTGTAGCTTAGTCTTGGTGAAGACATCTGCTACCTCACTGTGTTCCATTGTTCTGCATCTTAGATACACCAGTTATAGTTTTTTTTAAAAGAATCAGCATATTTGGCGAAAAGCAAAGTATGTCTCTTTATGTATTTCTCCTTTTTTAATTCAAATTTTTATTTTATTAAAAAAATGCTTAAAATACAAAACTCAAAAAAATTTAAAGAATAGAAAAAAAAAACCTAGCAAAACATTAGAAAAGTGCACTGAATAAGAAAAGAAAAGAAAAACTAACAACCCCTTGTTGAATACTGATTAATACAATTATTACAAAATTAATTTCTCATCCCTTGCAAAACAGGCCCAAAAGAATTTAAACTACTAAATCCATTTGCAAAGTTAAAAGAAAAAATTAAAAAATAAGCTCCAAACATTTTGCAAATTAATAAAATACAAAAACTCTGTGGGAAAGCCTAATAATGATGTAAATCAAATAAAAGCACTTCCAAGGACACACGCGAGTTTCCGTACAGAAAACCAAAAATTATTCAAAACAACATAAATCAAAAGGAAGAGAAAAAAACTCAGATAAAATCCAGCAATGGGTTAAATTGGGTCAGCATTCAACCAATCAGTCAACTTTTAAAGACAAAAAGCAAAGTGAAGCAATAAATTCAAAAAGTGAAAGTTAATACCCAGGCATGTTTAGAAAACAAAATGCTAAAAGGAAATGGATGCCCTGACTTTCTGACCGCTTACAAAGGGAACTGGAATCTTCAAGACTCCCCTTCCCAGATGGATCCATGGCTGTCCAAAATTCATCTGGCTCATTCCTAAGTGCTCTCATTCAAATTCAAGGAGCACCATTGCCAGAGAACCAAATCTGGCAGCAAAATCAGCAGATCGTTGATGGGAAAGAGAGTAATTCCTACTATAGGGTTTCTTTTTATCTCATTGCCCATTTCTCATTTCACTTCTCAGCTCTGTACACTGCACATATTCTCTTTCCTTGACTACTGTACTGGTGACCGCTGCCTGGTTCCCACAACATGCCAAGCAAAAATACATTTGGCTCATTTGTGACTCAAGGTAGCTCTATTGGCACAGCATGCCTACTCACAACTTTTAGCCACGGTTTACCCAATCGAATATTTCTGATTTACGTAACACACCAAGCATAAATAAACTAAAAATAGCATGGTGATATGACAAATTAAACTAGTTTGTGGTCTATTGTGCCATGCAAAAATAGCAGTTGTGATCTTGAATTTGTCTTTTACTCTATTTCTGATAGAAATTTCTGTATATTTTTACAGCATAATCTGCATAATGCAGTAGCTTAAATCAAAAATGTTTTATAATTCTTTAATTGGCTAACCTTCATGCCTGCATGCTGCCTTGCCTCCCTTTGCCTTTTTCCCTCTTACTTCATAGTTTTTTCAAAAAAACAAAACAAAAACAAAACCCTCTTTCCCACCACCAGAGGGCCCTCAAGTTAAACTGATCTCAGATGTTTTCTCCTTTATCTTGTTCTGCCCCATCATATTATAAAATCACTTTCTCCAATTTGTTGCTCTTCAAATATGTTGAACTATAATTATAAATCCTCTCCTAGTTCAATGGCTGGCAGTTATGAAATTGGAACTCCAATACATTTGGGAAGGCAGCCAGTGGTAAAGGCTGTTTAAAATACGCGCACACACACACACACACACACACAACCCACTGAGAACTATCTGAAATTTTAGGCACTGTTTTCCACTCCGAAATCTTGTTTAAAAGATATTTATCTTTGCCATAACTAAATACAGTACTCATAATTGGGCTTAGACGTGGCAATACTTACGCTGGCTTAGATAACAAGTCATTGATGTTTCTGTCTTAGCATGATGTAATTTGTAATAATCACTAATAATGATTTAGTGACATTGTGAACTTCTTCATTTTAAGTTGAAGCCTGATTAAAGAAAACATGACAGTCAACAATGTGAACCTGGATTATAAGTTGACCTACAGAAATGAGCAGAACTTAAATGAATTACAACAAACTTTCCTATTGGTTTCAATATTTTTTCTTAGTAAGACTAAATCTGAACCATAATTGAGAATTATAGCAGGTGGAAGTACCTAACTAATTCTAGCTGACCTTGAAAAAGCTAAGTAGGGTTGGCTTTGGTTAATAGTTGGATGAGAGACCATGATGTATTAATGCTATGACAGACCACATCTATAGTATTCCCAAGAAAAAACACAGGCATATCCTTGAGCTCACCAAGAGTTAGGACTTTAAAAGAAGCAATTAATATAATTAAAATTGAATTCCCCAGATGTGATTATCTTCAGTGTCCAGAATTCCTGGTCAGAATATGTTATGGTGATGGTTGAGAATTCTGGAAAGTAAAGATCCACATAGTGGGATCATGCCTAGGTTGGCAAAATCTGTTTATAATCAACTTTCCCTTGATTTTTTAAAAAAACTTTTTGGACTTTCATTTCCCTTTTGCTGATAATATTAACACTTTCTCCTTTTGTCACACTATGTAGCATATTTTTTTCGTATTTTTCTTTGTCATTTAATTTAGGAACATTTGAGTTGATTCAGCAAGTGCTTCCAGTATAGCTCGTTCTCCACTAACTTAGTGCCTTCTGAAAACATGTAGTAAAAAGTACCTTTCATCTTTGGGTATCACTCATTTGCTTCAATTGTTCCTTCCAACTCTAGGTGATTAACCAAGTCAGTTTCAGGCTGTAAGCACTAGATTAGGAAGAATGATTTAATGAGTGGGGGAATGGAAGGATAGAAAATAATAAATTAAGGAGAGAGAAAATGTTGAGCAATTTTTGCAGGGCTATATTCATTGCTTATTTACCTTTTGGATTATCTAGTGGTTTCATTTTCTAGAAGGTTTCCAAAATCCTTATCATCCTCAAAATGTGTAGTGTGGGTTTTGGGAATGATGCAGAAATAGGAAGGATCATTTATAAAGCATATACCTGTGATTATTTTCTTCACATGAAAATAGCATTCACTGTCTTTTGTTGGCAGGCAGGTTGTAAATTTTCTTCAGCTGCTGATTTCACCAACCAGAAATGTATTATAGCATATAAGTAGCTGTGATTGCCATCCTTAAATGTGAGGCATATGGAATATGTGGCAAACCTAAACTCAGGGTCACAGACCACAGACCATCATTGTTAAGAATTCAGCCTCTCCCAACTCAGTGAACTCAGTAGATGTTGGTCCTGCTAGCTGAAATTTTTGGAAGTTGTAGTCCCAGCAATCTGGGGATGGATAGACTCCAACTGCAAAAGCATTCTTGAGAGATTCCTGATTTTTTTTTTTGTCCAATCTGTGTTTAAATATCTCTAGAGAAATATAGTTCACTTTTTCCCAAGGCCATCTATTCCATTCTTGTAATGCCATAGTTATTAAGAAGATTCTCCAATAATTTAATCACAAATTGATTCCTACAGTTTGGACCACCTGGTTCTGGTCCTGTCCTTTGCAATATCAAACAAGTCTTTACCTTTTCAGTGTGTCAGCCCTTCAGTCTGAAGACAGTTATTATTTAGTGCACTCTTCTTCATA